CAGGTCCTTCCTTCCTTTCTGACATTTGCAGCACTTTTGCGCAGGGGTAGCGTATGGGCTACCTATTTTGTTCAACAACTACAACTCGTTACTTGATGTTATGGTCGCATCGAATCCAGAGAAAAACTGGTTGGGATTGCTTGAATCGATTGGGGGGTTTCCAGATTTCGTTTTAGATTTAAGCACCGCAGCCAGATTTCGAAGTTTGGCAGCACAAGTGAAAAAAAGAATCTCTTTGATCATACAACCTGACACCGGTCTAGCTACGCGACGACGAAGCAATATTGCGCGAGGAGATATCCGCCAAATTGCGAGTGGAGAAGGTAGAAAGGCTACAAAAGGTGCGATCCTGAATGCTAAAGGTCCAAGCAGTCAAGTTGGAGAAAACAAAATTGGAACTACGCGAGAAGAAGCAAGCACTGCGTAAGGAGTATATTGTGATGATGAAGGAGGAAATAATGGCAGAAGTCAACATCAAGTCGGTAACTTGGAACAGAGACTCAAATTAATCCTTCTAGACAGATTTACTCAAATAAAAATCTCCTATGGCTAATCAAGTTACGTCCTTTTGTCTTAGTGTCGTTTAAAGCTCACGCGTGCGCGATCGAACGGTCATTGTGTATATGGGTACAGTAAGTGGGGAAACGTCCTGGGTCTATCTATTCCTGTTCTATACTCATGTTATTCCTCACATAATCACGCATTAGGTGAGTAACTATCGATATATCGGCCGAATCCTTTGAAGTTTTGAGAGTTAAAAAAATCGAAGATTCGTATGATTTTAAAGTCAAACAGTCAATCCATCAGCTACCGCAGCACCTTCCTAAAGCTATTGACCTTAATTTGCCAATGGATACACTGGCATGGTGATAGAACAATAGGGAGTCAAATATGCAAAAGAACTATATAGATAGCTTAGTAATTTAGTCACCGCAGCGCGAAGCCATGTCCCCACCAAGTATGACAATTGTGTACAGGGTTTGGTACTGCGCAGGTGAACGTTCACATTGAAAATTATGAACTTTTCGGCTTGTAAAGCCAACGCATCTGTCAACCTACGAATTATAGCCAACCGTTGTCCTTATAACTATTGACGGAATATTTCTCGCCTTACGCCCGCACCCACAAAATGATCAATTGAAGATATTTACCCGGCACTCATACGAGCAAATCTATGCAATGTTCGAGGGAGCGACTTCATGCGATTGTTGAAATTATCGCGATCGTTTTAACCATACTTTAAGGAACAGTTTTAATGTTTACGATACTAAAGTTTTGCTAAAACGCACAATTCGAGAATGTCAAAAAGGGGTTTTCTGGAGCAATACAAAAATGAGGTTTTTTATGTTTGCTCTCGTTGCTTTTTAATTATGCATCATTCTTGATTAAAACGTCACTATGAGTCTTTATTGAGTCTATGGCATACAATGATGACGACGACAACATTATAATCGTACATTTTGCATATAGGATACATTACGCTAAAAATATTCAAAACATAAAAGTCAAGATAGACAATAACAATAATTTAATCGCTGGCTGGCTCACAAAATAGAACTAACTGGCAATTAGTGTTGGCAGCATCTATCATTGTATCAATTTTGCTAATTTAGTAAACGCACAATTATATATGCAAGAAATGTAACAGAGAAAGTAGTGCATAAGCAAGGCCTACAACGCATAATACGATAATCAGAAGAGATTCGACACGTTTACTCTTTATTTTTTCGTTTAGCAATCACTGTCAGAGTTCCGTGACAAAATGCACATGGTTGTCACTCGCCAATCCCTTGGACGGGAGGTTTTTTCTTCCCATCTCCAAACTTCGAAACATTTAGCAAAAAGGAAGTGATCGGCTCGAGTTCCTTTTCTTCGGATAATGATTTCAACATTACAGTGAATCTGAATTTGTCAATTCCAAGTGTGGAAATATCCATGAAGTCGCGAAACTCCTGAAGCATGGTCGCATAGTTATCTTTACCATACATGAAGACGAATCGGAAAAACTCGGCATACTTCGCTTTCTGAATGACAGGATCGAGATTTGGGTCAATCAACTCTTCATACACATCTTTCAGCGATTTTTTCGCCTTCAAGCGCAACCAATTTTCGTTTTTCAGAGAATCCAACATTGTATTCGAAAATTCCTTTAAAACTGACACTTTGCGAAGCTTCGAGAAATATTTGTGCAAATTTTCGATCGAATTGCCATCATTTGTAAGCAAATCCAATATGTTGAAATAAAATGCCCCGTTGCTGACCTTCGAAGTGCTACTAGACGCAGCGCTATTCCTCAACCTACTTGCGTAGAGCTGGCAGTATCGAAGCCACTGAAAGAAATTATCTGGGCTATTCGTTGCCTTTAAATCATCTTCGAAAGCGAAGTTGATGGAAATGTCTTCTTCGAGAAGATCCTTCAGCTTGTTCTCCCGATTCACAATATCCATCATCGCGTTTTCAAAAGAACCACCTGTTCCAAATACCATTTTTAGGGTCTCCGTATCCAAAGTTGACAGTGGTATATAAGTGCTATACAGGAACTCCATTTTTTCGAGATAATGGCCATGCTCTATGCTTCTTCTATGCCACTCCGTCCTCGAAAACTGAACCACTGCACTAAGCAGGTCGCCATCGATGTTTGCTGGTTTAAATCCTAATTCCTTGTGTCTGTCGTGAAGCGTGGAACCTAAACGTGGCCATGGGCTTGGGTCAGACTGTCGGATGGAAGCGGGCCTACGAAGCATGGCAGCAATCATTCGATCTGCAAAACCTCTCTTCGTATTATCTTGTTGCCATTTCATGAATATAGCAAATAGTTCTGTACTTGACAATTGTTCGTTCAAAGTCTGAAGAGCCTTTTCATCCACATTGAATCTGTCATTCACATTTGTCCGGATAAGTCGAGTAGCATCCATCTGATCAAGATACTTGACGATATTCGACTCTATGACTTGATCCCCAGATTTGAACATGGGGACATTATTTCGGTTTGGTTTCGTGGTGATATGTATCCCACTTATCCCTCCTCTCTCTTCGTTGACGTTTCCGACATTCACGCTTGTATTCAGAGATGAATCAATTGTGCTCTCGTTGGAAGCAATGCTCGTAAACTTAGCGACTGAATCAGCGTCAGTGCCAAATTGATCAGAGTCGTTGATGCGCTTTGCGTCCACGCTGAGAGCAATGTGAGTGCAGACTTTTACCACAACTAGGTATAGAAACGTGTATATGCGCATAGGAAGGTTCTTGAGTTCTGCGTGCCAAAAGAATAATTGACAAGTGTTTGTACCATATGAATGCATTCCAACCACATATATCCAGTGTAACTTGTGTTGCTCATAGATACCCAATGACAGAAGAGATGATTTAAAATTTGATCTGACCATTCTTTTAATTCTAACAAAAAAAAAGGTGAATATTATACCTTGTGCGATTGTGGCTTATGCCATGGATCAAACGCAATCATGATATTGCAAACAACGAGCACGATGTGCAGAAATTCAAGTCGCTAATTGTATTAAATGATCGCACTGAATAACTTAGACCATTCAAGAGACAAATTCTCGACGTGATCGGATGCACCATCCAACGATATCCTCTTGATAGCATCTATAGACATGGAGAAAATCTTTGATGAGAATGTCAACCAAACGACCAGGTGCACAATGTACGCTACCTCGCTGTCAAACTTTTAGTCTCATCACAAGTGATCTCTTCTTCTTCTTTTTTTAGCTCGGAAGCGCTGTAAATACACATGGCCAAGTGTAAGTCCACCCATGTTGATATTCCACTCAATCTATATATGATTTGACTTTCTTCTGAGCCAATTTGAGAAGCACGTAAAGGCGACCCATGATTGTTGTCATCGCACAATGTGATGATGTCGCTCATTTTTGTGACCTGGTTCATGAAATAGGCCTAAGTAGTTCAAACATTGAGCATCTTGGAACTCGAAGAGCGACATTACTCAAAGCCAAAAGCAATTAGACCTAGTGTGCTGCTGACACCCTGATCGATGAGGAGTTCATGCATCTCTTCTGCGTTGACTACCACTACATTGAAGACACGAGAAGCTTACATTGTGTAGATGACCGACTTCCAACATCTGTCTTTTCAGGTAAGAATTTAGCATCGAGCACCAGCTGGTAGAATTTGGCTGTATATCGAATGAAGGCTCCTTCGAATCACCTTCGTAGGTCTTGGAATGTCAGCACTACGGCTCAAAGAATGTCGAAACGAGCAAACCATCAGCTTTCGCTTTAATATTCTACACCCAATTTCGTATACGTTAATTGCCCGATAGTGTCTTGATAGATCTTCGCTGATTTAAAACCTCGCGAACTGGGCCTTTCGCTTTATAATCTCTACCCTCTCTTCTATCCACACTCGAGTATATCAATCGTTTCCTGAGGCTTTTTCACTACTTGAATGATGAAAACTTTCGATAAAATGACTTCACAAGCTCGAACACTCTTCCATTCACACTCAAAAACCAGAGCCATGCATCAGACGCCGCTTGCATAAATATCACAATACAACATGGTGTAAAGGTTGTGATCTGTAATATGGGAAGTGATCTCGGTCTCGGATCCCTCTTCTGGCTTGCTTATTATGTATGGCAAGCAAATATACTCAATTGATCGGATAACTCTTCACCAGGAATGAGTTTCTTTGTTTAAAGTCACATACTATCGAGAAAGAGTGAGCTATCGAGTTTAATTTATTTGAACTGCGAAAAGTTACAACAGTGATATCTAGAATTTTTGATTCTTAGAGGACGTTACTTGCAATAGAAATATCGATCGTTCTTTGTGTGTAACAAGAGTTCGAGATGCCTTATACGTTGGCATCTCGACTAGACGAGTCCATGTAAAGTAATTTACCGCGCCGAGCAGCTTCTTTAGCCTCTAGGCTTTTAATTTAAAAGTGATCTGTTTCTAATCTAATTTTGCAGAGTACCTGTGGACACATTATACCATTGCCCCATCAAAGCTTAGAAGTACCAAATTATTTGCACTGATGGAAAAGTGTACATCATTGCAGGATAGATTTTGAGCTCTACCCAGGCGTGTAACCGAGAGACTTGTTGGTATCTTGATGACTAGTATGCTTTAAAATTTCAAGAGTAACATCTACGAACATTTTTGTTCATCCATTTTACTATCCTCGATATGAAACGACCTATACTGCGAAGATTTGAGTTTCATAGTTTGCTTAAACAAACACAGAGGTGACTTCGTGCGTTTTTATTACGGGTGGAACCTAGAGGGACACGCACACAAGGTTAGGACTTGCCCGGATTCACTCTCCCTGTTAAGATGTGGACCACACTTGGACTCAAAATTACTTTGTCTTTTTGATACGCCGCTTGTGGAGCAACCATTGCGTATGGAGACTCAATTCATCCTCTGCACGTTACCGTGTATGCTCCTCAGAGAATACTCGCGCCGGGAATCTTCTCCTGTCCACCACTTCAAATGACCATTAGCCGCGCGGTGTCTGCGACCAAAATTTCTGATAAGGATACCGAGGTGTTTCCCGATGACAAACGGTCCTAGTGACTCTCATAGTTTTGACCATAAACATCTGTCCTCACTCACCGATACACAGTCTAGTCAATCCCCAAGGAGGAGGCATTCACTAAACATAAGATCCTCGCTGCATGATTTTTTTTTCCATCGGCGGTTATGTTTTAACTCCCGCTGTGAAAATTCCGACGATGACCAACTCGTTGATAAGGAGCTAGACTTGGCTCAGAGTTCCCAGCTTGTTCATTTGCAAGCACAAGAGTTGCACTGATACTTGCCCAAATCATCACGCCGCAATGACCATCTGAAGTCGCTCGCCCTCCTGACGCAGCGATTTACAAGTCTGTGCATAAGGGTCTTTTGCCATAACAATACATTTTTCCCAGGAGTACCGGCTACAATCGGTGTAGCAGCGTTGGAGAAGATTTGTTTTCTTTATAAGGTAAGTACCTCGGGTACTAGAAGCCAGCGAAAATGGCGATGTATCAGGCTCAGTTGAGTACTTGGTGATGAGTTGCGCCTTCTCATCCGCCTTAAGGCTTTAAAAACCAGCTTCAGTACCACGGTACCAGGTTCATTTTGCCCAAGTAGCCCTTCAAGTTCTTACGAGCTCTTGAAGAAAGGACATCCTTTCACTTCACCAGATACTGGCCACAGTCCTGGTGTAAATCCCGTCTGTCAAATGTTTCACGTTTATCTGCACTAACCCTTGCTGATCGAACACTGTCAGCAGACGTCAATTCTCTCGCTGCTTAATCTCGCAAGCTATCTCTTTTTGGCGGCACCTCAACTCTTTCCGAAAGTCAAGGCGAAAGTTTGAGGCTGACAAAAATCGAATCTCGGATCTGCTTTCTCAGCTTCCATGGCAATGCCTGGATTGAGGCACCTCCGGCGGTTCAAAACCGCGCCACCTCTTTAAAACAGGAAGTAGCTTAAGTACAAAGAAATGCGACGACGTTGCTTCGTTTGCAACAGAGCAGACTATCTCACAAGAGTTGGGTTGTAGTATGTCTAACTCACAAACAAGACAGGATGCGTTTGCCATACTTGGGATGTTCAAAATATATATCAATCCCTACATGGCCACACCAAGCGATCCGATGTAGCGCGGTCACAACCTTTTATAGATAACATCACTGCATGTGTAGGTAGGCTAATTGAAATCGATGAAACCTTGTACTCGTAACATATTCGTGTGTGATCTGCTTGTCTATGGCGTCAGCGTGCTTTTATTTGTCTTGGATCTCTACGATAGCGTTGCGCACCCAGTCGAAGAGGGTCCCGATTTTACTACGAAGTGATATTAGCAAGTCAATTTTTTGATCGATAGTCTTTTTCCTCGCTGAGTCCGGAGCCAAATTATAGCGGTGTCAAAAGTACTCGGAGTTTGCCGAACACTTTAAGTAGATGGGGTCAAGTCTGCCGAGGCATGTACTGCATTTGTTCAACGAGACTAAATGAGTGGAAGCAGCTCGACCCAACACAGCAGTCTCACCGCGCAAGAGCCCCGAAAGACATCTTACGTTACGCAAATAATGTGCCCGCCTGCTTGCGCATGATTAGCCGTTGGCATATCTAATCTTCTGCTGAGCATTTTGAACAACGGTCGCCAGAATATCGCTGTTAAGCGCGGATCTCTATTCGATACAATGGCTACCAGAGAAACAGATTGCCTAAACGCTTTGTCGAGATATAGCTTGCCGTTTTCTGCATCAGTCACAGTATCGTCGACACCATCAAGATTATTGTCGAGCTTAGACGGTCTACAGAGACCACCATACTGAAGTTTATGAGATGAGTTATGAAAGTCTGTGCATTGTGCCAACACATGTCGGACAGACAGGCTGATTCCGCCGCAAGTGACGAGGGTATTGCCCGTCGCCACGTTATAAACATTCACATATGCATACATATGTTCATACCTAATCATACATACTGGGTTACCGAGACATACCGCTCATTTAATAACATCCAAAATGGGTATCAAAGGCCTCGCTTGATATTCTGTTGTTGAGGGTTTCTCCTCGTGTGACACCACTACTCAGTGCTGTACTGCACCAACCACTAGAAAAGATATAGCGGTGTAGACGCGCTTCGACAAATTGTCATCTGAGTATTCAAACACTTTACCTTTCGAAGCTTCCAGAAGCGCAGGATGTGTTGCGTCCAACGCGTACGTTGTACATATTGTGACATGCGACAATTTCAGTCAGGTGAAGGCGAGAGTACATGCGCCACTTCAAGTAACCGAAACATACCGACACGGCATACGACAAATAAGTAGAACCATCTTGCCATTCTCTCTGAGTGGTGTGGCGCCGATGTCGCTGTGGGCAACAGCGCATGGTCGAAATAGATCACGAGCGGCTTAGTCCCAAGCAGGTGTATGTTATACTTAACGAGAGCATATTTCATCGCGAACAGCTTCTTGCATGAACGGGATAGTTCTTCTCAGCCCTTTTAGCTGCCATGACTCCAATTCAATAACGCGCTCATATTTCTTACTTTTGCGTAGAGTACGACACAGCCTTTTGCAAAAGCTGAATTTCACAGACAAAATTTTTAAATCGATCTGATTACCAAAGAGCCAACCTGAAAGTGCAGCCTTTATTCAAAACTATTTCAGATATGCACTGTAAAAAAATTGGTAAGCGCATAAGCCTCAAACGCTGCTCGCAAGTGTCAAACGTAGATGTACTCTTGTGGTTTTCTGATTCTGCTCTGCTTGACTTTAAACAAATATATATCCTCAACATAGGTTTGTGTCAAGGAGCGATGCGGCTTAAACAGCAGCAGCACCAGTCTTTTGTGCATCAGACAGTCCCGAGTTCATAACGACACTCCTAAATAATACTGCTTGGAGAATCTCACTACAGTTAAAGCCTTTCATACGTTGTTTATTATTTCTATAACGAGGTATGTACACATGACTACCCAGACGTACTACATTACTGATACTGATGGGAATGATCTAAAAAAAATTATGGGCCCCAATGCATTCAGTTACATTTTTAAATTTTGTAGCGCAGATGTGTAAATATTATATTTTTCTCAATTTAGAGCTTACAATAAAAACATTTCACTTTAGTTATAATGCGAAAATTAGTTATCTGCTGACAGAGGCTGTTAGCTACGTGTCTGGATTGAACTGAGGAGCCTTTCCCTGTGCATGGAATTATCGGCTGGAAGTTTTTTCTCTGTGCAGAGAGAACGGCAACCCGTTGTAGCGCTTGCATTTGGTCCGACTACCATTGCCACATCTCAGAGTATTGCGATTGGCGTACTCATTACAGTGAGAGGGTTGCAACTGTCACTCTTTGACAGTTAATGTCTGATCTCTTATATCATCGAACTGGATACAGCCAAGCATCTTATCGTTTCGGGACTGCCCTTTCAGGTATTGACAATTACTTTAGAATAAAGAGCTTGTTATCTGCATGCTTGACTCGCCATACCATTAAATGTTTACAAAGAAAGTAGCAACGAGCGGGAGTATGCTCAAGAATTACTATTAAACTCGCTGGTTGCGTCGCACGAAAGAAAATGTCATCGACATCACACTGTTTTCTTGGTAGGGCTGACGCAAGTCAATATGTAGGAACCAGATCAACTATGACGCACATAACGACTCGTGGACAACGTCCGCCGGGCCTCTCGTCACCACATTGTCAAACTGCTTAATCAAAATGAAAGAGTTCCGTAAGATCCGTAAGTGCATATCCTCCACTCCTCCCAATAAAAGTCTTCGCTAATGAACTCATACATGACGGATGTCAAGCTCAGCTCAACGCTATGGGCTAGCCCTACAAGCTCGTTGGGGTTCACCGTACTGTAATTTCTTGCAAACATCCTCGGATATTGATCCGTATAATACGAACTATTGCTTAGTGTGTCGGGGGAGGACGTCCACTCCTTGAGACTGATCCGTTCTCTTCAATTAAGTGTGAATACATCTGCTTGCCACAAAACCGTAGAGCTTCACTGTTGTGCAAAGTTTGTAATGGGTGGCACAGAGTAGTACTGACTCAACAGTACCAACAGTATCGTTTTATCGTGATTAAGATGACCAATCTCAATAAATTTGGAGCCTGGATCTTCTACTTGAGACAATCGCTTTAAGCGTCTCATGAAATACCTCGACACACAATCGATCTTACCTGTCTTCCACTACAAGACTCCGTGACACGCAGTCGCCCTCACCCATCTCCACCTGCTCGGCGTTTTTTCACCAAGCACAGAAGACCGCAAAACACAGTCACTCTTACTCGTCTCTATGCGCTTTGCAAGAAGAGATACGAGCTGGTAGCTATACCTTAACTGTTGATCGAATGTATCTTCAGGAAACGCAGTACACCTCAGCGCGTACCTGGCTCATCATTAAAAATTCCGAACAGCGCGATAGATCTAAATTCTGCAACACACTCCCGCCTTTGCTTTCCGATCACTGCTCATGGAGTTCAGCAACATCGTGATCCAGTAATCTGATCAGTTGAATATGTCTAGCCAGACCCGCGCCTAAAACGCTTCTGCAACCTAGTAGCGGTGATATCATGCCTCATAGGAGAAAAGTGTCCGAAACCTAGTGTTCCTAAAGATTGGATAAGGCAGAGTTTAAAATGCGAGTATGTATATTGATTTATAATACAGACGTGATTGTATCTCATGTAGCTAATCTGTAGTAAAGTTATGATCTCACATTCGAGGACGCTGCGGGTATTACAAAAATAATTGCTTTAGTTTTAAGGTTCACAACCCTTCCTACTTAATAAGTAGCATTTATCAAAGTTTTCGCGCCTCCACAAACTTAATCTTCACTTTATACACAGCTATGAGCAAAAACTAGGTCATAAACGTGTTGAACAGCACTTTATATCTGTAGTGGAATTTAAACTTACATTTTCAACTCTATGGAACGGTGTTATATTACTGTACCAAATAGTTAGATTGTCAACGATTGAGTTTTGAAATACAAAATTACAAACCTTATTGAGTCCTAGTTAATCTACAGCTTTGGGTAGTTCAGCAACACCATATCTTAGTTAAATTGTGCCGCAAAATCAGGTTAAGGGCGAGACAGTGCTCTACGCTGTCAAAATCTTTAGAAACAACAATTTTCGACTTGTTCACTAACGTCCCCGTTATCGTGAAACGAAAATTAGGAGAGTCACCATTTGCTGTGCGCAGGGAAAGCATAGACGCAAGAGTATGGACACAGAGTATGGCCTCATAGTCTCAACCCAGACGCGGAAGCGTTGGATGCTGCGCTGGACATGGAGTACAATATCCGTATCGCGAGTAACGACTGAGGAACTGAACTTGAAACCTCTTTGAGCGCGCCACAGGCAATGCGCCTCAGCTATGCTGAGAAGGGAGGGCGATATCTTGGCCACCAAGACGCATCGCGGTACTAGCAGTAGTGGTTATAAAGTCTGCGCCTTGAGTGTCATCTCCTGTACAAAAAGTCACCGCCTCCACGCAAGGTTGTCCGCGAACCTCTCGCGAAGAGTTGCTAAGTCTCAGAAGGGACAGGGCGGCCAACTGGTAGTGTTATTGGTTCCTTGCTACCTCGTGGATGCTGCGATCAATGGGGTCAGATTCTAACAGGAAATATTTTTTTGGGCGGTAAGGCGCATAGCCCGTGGATGTTGTTCTGAACTTCAAATTCAGGACTTGTGGCGTTGTGGAAGTTCTGATTAGTTAAGGAGCGTACATCAATTACGTTCGATGTGTGACTGTCTAACATAGTAGACAGTAGATGGGGATACGGGAGATAGCGAAAAGCGATACGTCATCCGTGCGTCCTGTGACTGAGGCAGTAGTGAAACTGTCGAAAGTTTTAAAATACCTTCAAGTAAAATTTGAGGACATTAAGAGCACAAAATATTTCTTCTCCAAAAACCGGATTCAAAATATAGACTAGACCTCGGTATAGCGTTACATCAATGCATTAGACATGGATTTACCGAAGCTCAATTAGTTGCGAGCGTTTGTGAGACATCAAACCACAAGAAAGCATTTTTAGTTTCGTTACGGACACGAAGGTACGATAGCTTCTGTGTGGTAAAAAAAAGTGCCAGAACTGTCTCTTAATGATATCCATAAGTTCGTGGAACAGTACCTTGGAGACAGAGGTGGTAACGAGGCGCAATCTTACTTTGAGACAAAATATTTCGATCGTATATCGTGATTTTCAGAATGTTTGTCTGTTAATATGAGAAGGAATGGCAGTATGTTGAGTATCTTCTGTGGGATGGTAAATAACAGATTTAACGGGTGTGTCCTGTGCCAAGTATGATGGGGAGTAGAGTCGACTGAGTGTTTCAGTTTCCTGTACTACAGCTGGCAAAGTGAATGGGTGACTGCAAGTTGCAAATAGAAGGACAAGACCCTGATATTAAGCTGGATGACTCATCCTCGTCACGATGTAATTGGGCCGCTTAGTCAGCACTAACGTGCGACGTGTCCATCGTAAGGAGCAATAAAGTTCACGTAAACATGCCGAGAAATATTTAAGTCGTGAAAAGAGTGACCGAGTAACCTTAGTGGTTGATGGTCTCCTGCCTCCATATCTCAGAGATGCTTTTGTTGAACAAGAGTAATTAATCCTAGGGGATGTGTACCACTATTCTGGACGGCAAAGCCACTGGTATGGTATCGATGGACGAGCTTCGCTTCTTATCGGCCATAGGCAAATCTGTCGTTGAGAACACTCACAGAGCACTGAGTACGAAAACAACTCACCCCAACACTACTAAAAATATTCTTATCATTTTTCGAAGAATATCAAATTCGTGATTTAAAACTCAATTTAATGTGGTCCCCGTGTAAGTAGTGTGTCATGACTTGGTTCTCGGCACCATATACTGTGTTACACGGCAGAAGATCATACCAAGAAAATAGTGTGACGTCATCGAAGCCTTCATTAGTTCGAAACACGAAGCAGTATTGGTGAGTTAAAGTTAATCTGCCCACTGACATCGACATGCTGTATTAGAAAGGCAAAGAACCAGTGGTGAATTATGCAGGTTATTGGTAAGCCGAATGCAGACATGCAAATTTAGGCTTTAGTTGAGACTTAATGGATTTTCGCATCTTTATCGAATTTTCGCCAAGAGACCCACCTCGCCTTTTGCCACCAGATACTGGAGTGTGTTCTAAGAAAGACTTGATTTTATTAGATCAGATATAACGACACAAGGCCATAATCCTAGCCAATGGAAAAGTGCGACGTCATTGACGCTTTGTTCCAAGCGTAACATGGAGAGAGCTCGTGAGAGGAAGTCAATCGCTTAACTCAGTGCCGATTCTCATTACCCGATTTGCTGAGATCAAATCTGTACGTGACAATGCTAAGCCAATGCAGCCATGATTCCTTGACGAGCGCAAATTCCGAAATAGGATGTGCTGCATTGACCATGTTAGACTGCACCTTGTTCAGCGCCTTTTGTCTAGTTGATTAGTATCAGCAGCAGCACATCTGAGACCAATCACTGCAATAAGTACTTTGATGGGGAGTTTCGAAGTTGGCTGATTGTGACAAAAAGTTTGTCTGTCGTACCAATGACGATCGATCAGTGGTGGCGTAAATTTTTCAACCACGAACCCATCTCAATTTTATTTGTCTTTAAGCCCTCCAAAGAACAAAACGTTTGATGTAGAGACCCATTTTCAGCGCTAGCGAGCATTTCTTGATCGTAATCGCTAAGACAAAGTAATGAAAACAAAGTCAAATGACTTGTTGAAGGCGATAATATTCCCTATGTTGAATCTCCGCGCAGGCCTTGACAACTAAGTCCAGGGTGAGATTTAGCAAGGGTTATTATTTTTTTAAATTGACTGATCTAGAATTACCTAAGGAAGTGGCTCGGCCTAAACAACTGCTTGCTCGATTACAATGTACACCATGCCAACCTGGTGTGACCCCTCACTAATGTTTAAAAAAAGGATGTTAAATGGTGCTCGAGTGCGGCAGATAAGGCGACCTATAGATCTGAAAAGAAAATGCCTTATGTAGGTCACGACGCTAGACTTCCGAATCCAAATTCACCGCTTTATGTCGTCTCTGTCCCATCACCCCTTGTCATAGAGTGTGTATTATTAGAAGCAGCTGTCAATCAGCACTAATGCTCGATCAGGTTGGAGTCTCGCTAAAATAATACGACAATAAACAGATCCCAACACGACCATCAGCAACATGCAATATAGTTCGCCCGTATAAGATTCAGGGTGCACCTACTTGGACTTAAGCCACAAGTAATA